TGCCTGGGTTGTAATTTTTCCAGACCATGTTGGAGTAAGTTTAAAAAGCAGAGGACTTGGAGATATGAACAGATTGTGAAGAGCACAGCTATGCTTCTTTGTGCTGGAGATCATGTGTAGACACATGCATATTTATGCAACACGCACATTATGTGTGATAACAACATTGATGCAACTTCGTTTTTTCTTAGTAGTTAATTTTAATAAATCATTTATGTCTAAAGCATACAGATAAAGTCTCACACTGAAAATTCTGACCTAAGACTCTTTCACTTAGTAAACTCAACCTGTGCTTTAGCCTGTTCCCCTGGTTACTGTGAGACTCACAGGGAATTGCTGAGTGAGAAATGTGACTCATATAACTCCAGGATCTTTTGAGCTAGGTTTTTTTTGTTGTTGTTCATTTGTTTTTTGGGTCTCTTGTTGTATTGTCATCGTTGTTTTCCTTGGCAGGGTCCTGCTATGCAGTCCAGGCTGGCCTGAAACCCGGGAACCTCCTACATTAGCCTCTCAAGTGCTGGCATTTCCACCAAATAGCAGGCATGTGCCTGGCTTTATGACTGTGTGTGTGAGAGGGAGAAACAGAGACAGAGATTGCATATGGACTTTATATTATAAAACTATATTTTTAAGATTTTATTTTCTAAATTTTATGTGTCTTGAGTTTTTTGCCTACATATATGTCTGTTCACCTAATGAGTGGCATGGCCTTGGACGCCAGAAGAGGATGCCAGATCCTCAGGAACTGGGGTTGCAGGCAGGTTGTGAGCCAGCATGTGGGTTCCAGGAACCAAAACTGGTTCCTCTGGAGAGCAGCCAGTGCTTGTGATTGCTGAGCCAGCTCTCCAGGCCCCAAACTATATTTTGAAAATACTGTGCTTAATGTTCATACCAACAGCTATTAAAAGTATGTTGAATCTGCCAGCTATTGTAGATAATTGAGCTTTTGGTTTTCTGTGGTAATGTTAATGAAAGCACTCCAATATTAGCTGTTTCTTCTTGATTTTCTTTTTTTTTTAAACTAGGTTAACAGAGCAATGTGGTGTGATTTCTTACCTGTATCCATGACTTCTGGGAGACCAATGAAGGTTTCTGCAGTGATGAGCCCACGGTGGCCTATGCAGCTGGGTGAACTCCCTCCAGTCTGTTTGCTTTGCTTCTCTGGGAAGCCTGTCCCACATGACTATGGGATGCTTTGTCCCACCTTGACCTTGAGTACTAAGCAGGCCATTCCCACAGAAGATGAAGCTGATTGTCTGAAGTTCAGTCAGGAGCCCACATTTGGAAAGAAGATGTACAGGTGTCAAACAGATTAGGATTTATTTAGAAGGTGCCGGAAGGATGTTTAGGAAGCTTGATCCTACTTAACTCTCATTGGAATGTTAGGCTAAGTCCTCAGTTAGAATTGAGCTAAGTAAAAGGTTGGTTTCATTCACATCCTGATTTTGAGCTGACCCATTTTTGTAGTGGTAGTACCATGGACTTGTGACTACTACTGTTTCTACGTCTGGTCTTCTGCTCCCCATCTCAGACCTGTCTGGCCAGTGGTCTCCTTGACATGTCTACTTTGATATTTCACTTCCATTACAGAATTCTAGATTTTCCTTCCAATTCTGCATCTCACTGTCGTCCCTATCTCAGTAAATGACAGTGTCCATTCATTAGCATGTTCCTATGACCCGAGTTAGGGAGGTGGCATTGACCTCCTTTCCTCGTGAGTCCCTCGAGGTAACTCAGTGTGGCTCACGTGCACTCCGCCTCTCCATCTTCCCTGTGCATTTCCCAATCTAAGTCATCATTTTCCCCCTCTGGGCTACAATGGGGCTCTGGAATTGTCTCCACATTCCTGTGTCTCCCCCCCCACACCCCAATTTACTCTCTGTGCAGCTTGTTAAGTCTTGATCAGACCATAATCCTTGCTTGTCATCCCCTGGCTTTTAGGGTAAATTCCAAGTATCTTTCCAGGGGCTATAGTTAAGCCCATATGATCTGGCCCACCCGCTGCTCTCACCTTCCTTTGTTGATTCTGCTGGCATTTGACCTCTCCCAGTTATGTTTTGCCACAAGGCATGGGCTATTTGAATCCCTCTTATAAGGTAAAATACTGTGGCTATAGTTCTGAACTTTGTGTGTAGTTTAGAGACTCACAGTCGCTCATGCCTATGTGCCCCAGTGTTTCTCTTTATGTGTACACTGGACATTTCTGAATGTCCGTTTCTGCTTCTTAGAGGACAAGAAGATATCATTGTGATGTAATGATTACTCTTTTTCCAGCTGGCCAAAGTGAGGGAAAAACTGAAGGACAGCCCCACCCTCAGAGCCAAATTTGATGAGGTCTATGGGAAGCTGCACATCAACGGCCAAGTCACCATTTGCCCTTTGGATGCTATGCTCTGCCACGTGCCCAGGGACAAGAAACCCAACACATTGCTGCTAAAGAAGAGGACGGTCAGCCAACGGACCTTACAACCTCTCAGCCAGTCCCTGCTGACTGAGTAACTGTGTTTTCAGACTCCCAGGTCTGGAGGCGCTGCTTTGGTGAATCATTGGCTTCTCCAAGATGCCAGGCATCTCACCTCAGTGGCACTGTGCTAAATGCCTGGTCTCCGTAAGCCCCAAGTTCCCCGAGTGGTGACTTGCTGATCAGAGAGATGTGAAGAGCTAGCTCAAGCAAGGGAAGCACCGTTACCACAGAAAGGCAGCTTCCCCTCTGTCAGCCGCTCCAGAGTAAGGGCCATGCTGTTAGTGCAGCCAGCACCAGAGGGAAACTCAGGAAGTACCTGCAGAAGGAATTTCCCATGGCCTGATCACCCTTGACTGACCTTTCACAGAGAGATGCCTTGCAAGTGATGGCCTCACTGAAGTCTCGAGATCTGAAACCCTCTTCTACCGTGGTGGGAAATGGCCAAGGCCTTCTCTCATCTCTGCCATCATTTTTCCATCTACAAAATAATATTGCCCATGTGTGCTTGGATGGTTTGACATTTTCATTTGCTGTTCAGTAGCGTTAATCTTTCTCCAAAATAAGAAATAAAAGGTACCTACACAGACTTGAGATTGTGTTTTCTTTCCTCTGAATGGAAAAAAAAAAGTTAGAATTTAGCTTTCGGAATTGTTAAGTATGCTAAATTGAAATGATTATTGTCTTTATCATTGTCATCAGCAAGCCATGAATGCTGATAAAAACAACTATGGGATGCTTAGTTTTCTGTGGTAATTTTCTACTTAATATCATAAATACTTGATCCTGCATGTCACCATGTTTGCTATGTACTTTCCCTTGGTGCACATTATTCTTGTTACTTTTTATTATAAAACTTTCTTGATAGCAGGCCGTTTCTTTGACAGTTTGAAATGAAGGATTGGATGAATTGTACATATGTGATCATTACCAAAAGATAGCCAGGAGTCATCTCATGTGTTCTTGTTTCTGAAGGGCCCAGGCAGGTGTTGAACAACCCAGCAGCAGAGAGAGACCAAGTGTCTTCAGACTTGTCCTTGAGGCCACTTCCTCTCGGGCGAGAATTGTCTGTAGAGTTAGAGGTGTCTCCCACATCTCCTAATCCCCCATCTTTCACACTGAGGAAATGTCTTGTCCAAACGGGCAGGACTAATTAGGCTGAGACACTAGATTCCTCCTGGTCTGGTATCCTCCCCACGGTGCCATATTGTATGTCTTCTGAGGCTAAAACAGTTCCTCCTAAGATCTTTCCAGACCATTAAGGACTCCTGTGGCTTCCTACGTGGCTTCAGGCTGCCAGGTTTGCTCATTTGGTAAATGGGGCTCTTAGTGCACTGACTTAGAGTAAGTGTGAACTCACCTAGAACAGAAAGCAGGCAGACTGTGCCTGGCACAGTAAGTGCTGCGAAACCTCACCTCTTGTTACCACCTTAGTGGGTGGCAGAGTATTTCCACCTAGCTGAGGAATATGTGAACAAATGGGGCCTTCCTCCTGCTATGACAATACTCAGGAGCCCATCTCACAGATGTCAAAAGGATTTGCCTGAGTTCATTGAAGTGTTAGACATCCTTGTTTAAAAACAAAACCCCCGAAGTCCTGTCTTCATAGAAGAAAATGCAGCCAGGCATTGTGGCACACGCCTTTAATCCCAGCACTTGGGAGACAGAGGAAGGCAGATCTCTGAGTTCAAGGCCAGCCTGGTCTATAGAGCCAGTTCCAGGACAGCCTTCAAAGCCACAGAGAAACCCCATCTTGAAAAAGAAAGACAAGGAAGAAGGAAGGGGGGGAGAGAGAGAGAGAAGCTTCACCTCAGCCTCTGGCATCCATATACCCAAAGAGTCTGGGATGTTATGGTAGAAGTTCCACCCTAGCCCCCTCCCTATATCCCTCCAAACCCTGCTGCATCTCAGAAAGTTGGCCAAATGATGGCCCCTCCCTCAGAGATACTCAAGACCACTCCCACAGGGTGTTTAAACTGTCTCCCTTTTCCATCTCCAGGTGTTGTATCCATAAACTTGGGGTTTTTTCTAGTTCAGTTTCACTTGGTCTTGGATTGCTGCATCCAAGGTGGAGAGGCATTAGGAGGGTTGAGAACTACTGTTCTGTAGGTACTTGGGTGATGGAATTCAACAAATGCAGGACCTCTTATGCCAGAGTTAGTTAAAGAACTGACTACCATATAGCAAGCATTACTGTTTGTCAGGTTCCTGCAGAGCACCTTGGATGTGTCTCTCAATGAATCCTCATAACTCTCTGGGGTAGCTATTACCTATTACATGGGAGAAACTGAAGTTCATAGATTTGATGCCATCGAGTGGAAGACAATAGCTTTTAAAAGCAGACAGTTGGGAAACATGTTTTTAATTACATGCCTGTAGTGTGTGTGTGTGTGTGTGTGTGTGTGTGTGTGTGGTGTGGTGTGACTTATTCATGCTGTTCTTTTCCAATCTACAATACTTAGAAAAGACAGCAGAGGGCGCCCCAAGTCTCTACTTTGGGGAGGGGGCGGTTACCAGTTTTCAAAAATGTCTTCCATTTCTGGAACTCAGAGAGAACAGAGATTCACACTGCAGGCTACACAGGTAAGGTATCCATGTGCCTTAGGACAGATGCAAAATGTTGTTTTCACTTAGGTTAAGAGTTGTCTAATGTGGAGAGGGTGTTTTTGGAAGAGAGAAACCATTGGGGTTGGTCCTTCACAGAAAACACTAGATGATTCACTGAAACAGTCACCCTTGGAATATTCCGTATTTAGGGGAGGAAAACCATAGTATCCTGGAGTATTTAGCTCTGCCCAGTTGGAAAAATTGTTTAGCTGTCACATTTTGATTCCATGAACTGAACTCATGTACTGAGTCTTCAGAGTACTAATTATAATGAGATTTTGATTCAAATGAAGTGCATCCCTACCAGAGACCAGAACACTAGGGAGATGCAGAAAGACGAAGTGATTCTCAACATCCTCCGGTACACCAGGAGGCTCTGAAGGTGAACATGGAGCAGTCTCCACAGGAGAACAGCTTTAAGGCTGTGAACATCTCAGGCAGAGCTGTGGTGGACAGTCTCAGCACACACTGTCAGTATCGGCATTCAGATCAGGGTGGGAGACTTCACCATTTCCTTGCGCCTAGCCCAGAAAGGCTCTGTATTTTCCCATGGGTTGAGGCTGTACCCCTGTCAACAATACACATTCACCCAGGACTTTAGTCATTCAAGGCCTCCTCCGTTGCCCACATGATGGCCAACTGCCCCAACTCCTATAGAAATCTGAAGTTAAATTAAATCTGAAGGCCAGAATTATTTCCCTACATATGATGTTAAGCAGGCTTTACCTGGGCTTTTGTATTTAGGGGTTGAGGTAGAGAGAGAGAGAGAACGTGAAGTCTACTGCAATGTGCAGAGAGAAGGGGACTCTTCGGACCCATGGCCTCTTGTCACAGTCTGTGGCACAAAGCTTCTTCTATAAGATCTGTGTTCTGGCGTGTGGGCTAGGAGGGGGTTCTCGTTTATAGCTCTCTCTGAACTCAAGTTCCTCCTGCCTTAGTCTGCTCAGTGCCAGGACTGTAGGTGTGCCACCATGCTTGACCAGGGTCTTTCTTGACATACTGACAAGTTAAAATCAGTAACTTCACTGGGTGGATATGGATAGCAGCTCTGGCCTACCAAACCTCATCATGCCCTGAATCATGTTGTAATGCTTGGCCCTCAGCTTGTAGCATGATAATTGAAGGCTGTAGAATCTGTAGGAGGTGTGGCCTGTCTGAATAGTGAGCTCAGTGGGCCATAGGTGTAGTCCAATGATACAAAACTCTTATTCATATAGAGTACTACTCAGGTCTGCATTCATTGTCTGTTTTATTTATTTTGAGGCAAGACCTTGCTGTGTAGCCCATACTGGCTTGCAACTCACTATGCTGGCCTCAACCTTTAAGTCTTTTTCCTCTCCAAGTATTTCAAGCTATCAGTTATCTAATTCCACTGATATGCTCTTGTGCAGTATCTTTGTAGAGAGGTGGGGGATGGGATCCAAAGGGGCCACCACACTGCCAGTTTCCCCCATGGTGATGGGTCTAAGCCAGCAGGTGATATGAACTCCCATGTCTGCGTGCTGCAGCATTAGTGAGCAAGCCAGTCTGAAGCAGATCAGGTGAAATTGTGCTTTCTGTTACTTGTCAATAGAGTGATGTCTTTAGATTCTCTTGTCCTCTTGAATTCTACTTCCTCTTTTCCCTTTCTCTGTTCTTCTATTTTCTGTCTTCCCATCATTTTGTTAATGCTTCCCCCGCTTTAAGGGAAAAAGAAAAAGAAAGAACAGTGTTGGGTCCCCTTTGGGCTGTTTGGTGACTGGGCTTGGCTTCCTGTGCTCTCATCCTCTACTCCTGACTCAGAGGAGAGGCCACTTTACTGGAATTTAGTAGAAACCCAAGGTTGGCTTCGGTCCTGTGTTTTCCCTAGCCTAGCCTTATTAGAAAGAAGAACTGAACAGGTCGAGATGAGAACAGCGACATCCTGAAAAGCCATCTTCCTCTCAGCTGCTTGTGGACAGTAACAAGGCCATCTGGTGCTGCACGTTCATTCTCAGCTCTGTCTCTGAGGCCCTGCATCTTGTGCACCCCTCGACATGAATTACTCCTCTCAGAAGAAGGCATAGGCAAGAAAAGCTAGCCCCTATTTTTACTGCAACACAAGGTACATTTCTCTTTTCCTACTTTTTTTCAACAAAGAATATTTAGCAAGCATTTCTTTTACCTGGAAATCACACCAAGAACAGATTAAGAACAGCAAACTGTGTCTGTTAGCTTTACATTCCCAAGCCTGATGTAGATCCCTCGAAACAACCCCGGACCTGATTCAGTGCCCAGCTCTGTGGTGTACCCCCACCTCACAGCTTCAAAGTTGCCCATTACATCCAAACTCCCACTATCTGATGGATTTTTGCCTTTATTAATATTTCACCTAATTAATACTACTATATTTGGTGGTGAGAAATTTTCATTCTTAAATTGATCCAACCTGCTCTTAGGATTTACAAATGAATACAGGATACTCAATCGCACTCTGGCAGGACTCGAAGAACTGCATGCACCTGAGATTAGAGCAAATTTCAGAGCTAATGAAGACAATAAACAGTGGGGAAAGAATGAAGTGCCATACTTACTATGACTCAGTGGATCCCATTTCTGAGGAAAGCCTTCACTGCCAGGAAAGCACTTGTTCCCAGTATCACAGTCTCCCACAGCACATTGGAAAATGAGAAAATGTGGGTGTTGTAGAATGCTGTCCTCTGGTCATGTTCATTGCTGTCTTTAAACTAGAGCTCTGTGGTTACCTACAAAATCAGACCCACTAACATTCCCTCATGGAGGGAGTGGACTCACTATGTATCTACAAGAGGCCCATGAGTGCCACAGAAGACTGTTCAAGAGAGCCCTGCCACTCCCTGAGTATCTGTAATTTGGAAGTCATTGGTAGTGGCTGGTGAGGGGACTTTTCTTTGTTGGTGTCCAACAGTAAGCTGCCCATTTTCCTGTAGGTATCTCCTTGCCCTTGTTCCTATAACTCCGGTTAAACTCATTGGTTTAGCAAGCTAACCTTGGGTGTAATCATTTCCTAGGTCTGTTGATGGTGCCCTTTCTGGGGTGAGTAGACATTTGCTCATGTCTCCTGGGGGCGGGAGAGGGGGCAACACATGGGGCCACAGTGCATTTGTCTAGAGTGGTTTTGGAAGCCTTCTCACCACCAAACATGGGGATTTCATGATAACAATAACAATTCCTTTCATTCTCTCCTCTTAGTTATACCACACATCTAAAACAATAAAAGGCTAGAACAACTAATGGAGAGAGAGCTCATGACTTGATTGATTTCAGTCAGTGCCAGCAACTACTATGGCAGTAACAACAGTACAGTAGTGACATGCAGCCCTCCGAGTAGCCTCAGTGGCTCAGAGCTGGAGAAACCTAATCTGCCTGCAAGTGTGTGGCAGCGCTTTCCTGGCAACCAGTAGTTTCACAAAGAATAAAACTGAAAACCACTATGACCACTGTAAGGTTCCTTTTCATGAGTTTCTATACATGGGAGAGACACCTCTGTTCCTAATGGCCGCAAGTTTCAGGAATGGGCTGACACTCTTCTTGGGGCTGTGAGAGGGGTACCCATGAGATGATATCCCTTTCCATCTTTCCTCAGGCACTAATTTGGAAGTCTCTTTATAGAACAGCAGCTTGTATGCCACGTATAGCAAAGCCCTAGAGAGTGGCAGGACTACCATTAGCAGCCCTGAAGACCACAGACCATGGTGCACAGCTGTGTATTGTGACTCTTAACCACGGGCATCTGGCAGAGCAGAGGAGGGGAGATGGAGAGCCAAGGCCACAACTAAAAGATGATGCAGATTTCTCAGTCACCCAAACCCAGTGTGTAGACCACAGGGGTTATAAACTGCCACCTTCTCCCCTCTCATTTGATAGAGAATGTTGAAGGGTTTCTACTGCTGTGGTAAAACACCATTGACCAAAAGCAACTTGGCAAAGAAAGGGTTTGTTTCAGCTTACAACTCTCAGGTCACACTCCATCACTGAGGGAAGTCAAGGCAGGACCTTGGAGACAGGAACTGAAGCAGACACCATGGAGGAACACTGCTTACTGCTTTGCTCAGCCTGCTTTCTAAACCATCCAAGACTACCTGCCCAGGGATGGCTCTGCCTACAGTGGATGGAGTTCCACATTAGTCATTAATGTTAAAAATGCCCTACAGACTTGCCTACAGGCCAAACTTATGGAGGCATTTTCTCAATTAAGATTCCCAGATCTGCCTAGGTTTGTGTCAATTTGACAAAAACCAGCTAACAAAGAGAACATTTGGAACATGCAATTCACTCTTGCAAAACCTCCAAAGACTTCCATCACACTGAGCAGTGACTCCAAAGTCCATGTAGCAGGCAGTTGGCCCCTCTGATCTTTGCAACTTCTTTCAACCACACAGGCACCTTCTGCCAGTTCCTAGAAGCCCCCCAGCACATGCAAGCCTAGGCCTCTGCACTTGTTTTACCCTCCAAGAGGCCTTCCCATGTCAACTACTCTCCATTGCCCCTCCACTCTGTTGCTTATTTCTCCCTTAATCAAATCATACTTGTTACTCAAATTTTCTATTTAGTTACTTCATAGTCATTCCTCTAGAAGAGAGGTTGGCCTATTGCACCCTGTTTTCAAAATCCCACTTGTCTATTTTGTGAGAGAAGTCTTCCCTGGTGGCAGCTACTTTCTTGTCTTTGGTGTATCCACAACAACAGGGTTGAGTCATGCAATAACTATCCCAGATAACAACACTGTATTTGGCAGCTGGACCTTTACAGAAGACGTTCCTACTCTAGACTGGAAGCTCTGTTTGCACTCTTCCATCTCAAGCACATAGGAAGTTGCCTGGAATTCAGTAAGTGTTCAATAATTATGTATTAAACAAGCAAATATGTGAATACATAATTAATCCAAATAGTTCTAGAAGTTACTTTTCTTAATTCAGTAGCTACTTACTAAGTATCATCTTATGTCATCCACTGTACTCTGGGTAGAAGATACCACAGTGAGGAGAGGCATCAGAGTCAAGACACGGTAAAAAGTACCACATTATAGGTACTTGGCAGCAGCAATGTGAGCCATAAGGGAAAACCTGCATTCCAGGCATGCTCAGATGGTGGCCTGGCAAACAAGTCTTACAGAGAAGGATGAAGAAGCTACAGGTTGAGTGAAATGAGTTGCTTGACCTGAGCAACGGCACAGTGTGCTCTTGGGAAGAACAACTAAAAACAATTGAACATGAGATTTGTAGAAAAGGGGGCTTGGACCATTCATGAGATTTGAATAGTCACTATATTCATCTTTCTGTCTCTCCTTCACATGTTGTCATTTAAAATTGGAAAGCAAATAGGTTTTCACAGAAAGGCAACCTTTTTTTCTTCTGGAGTCTTTAGATCTGACACAAGACACTTTGTGAAGTGTCCTTTGATGGGGTGGCTTAGGATATCATTCGGGGTCAGATGAATCTTTGCTATGAGACACCATGTTGTTGTGTGGATAATGTGGAGACTTTCCTGGCCTCTACCCACTGGATACTAGTAGCATCCCTTAGTCATGGCCAATAGTGTCTCCAGACTTTGTCATGTATCATTTGAGGGAACAATATCACCCTGTGCAGAGAGTCATTGCTTCAGAGAGTGCCACCAAGACACACACTGGCCAGCTGTGGGTGGAGGTGTTACTATCAAACACTGACTGGAGGGGGCTGTGGAGAGTCCAAAGTGCAGACCCTGCTTTCATGCACTCCATTTGCTCTTCAACAAAAACCACTTGTTCCCCCTTCACCCCAACATGATCACCCAATACAACTATGGCGAGTAACCAATGAATTTGAAGAACAAACCTTAGCTACTTCTTCACTTGGTGACCCCTGCACCATTTCTTCCTAGGACTCATTGCATCTGCGTTATACTGAGACATGCTATCTTAAATACATATTATAACAGTAGAATATTACTTAGCAATCAAAAAGAGCTAACTATTGATAAACACAAAAGCATGTATGACTCTCCCGAGGCATGGTAGCAATAAAAGGAAGACAGTCTTAGGAGGTGCAGATTCCATTTCTGGAACTTTCCAGAGAAGATAAGAGCATGCTGAGGTTGGATTGTAAGGGACTTGGTAGGGGAATATATTATTATAAGGGGGATGGCATTTTGTGGTCAGAACTGTTGGGCACCCTGATTGTCTTGTTGGTTGCATGAATCCATACATGCGTAAAATTCAAAATGCATGCCAAAAATTAATTTTACTATACTTTAATTGAACCCACCCCACTTAGTCTTTGAAGAGGATAAGGGGCTTTGAGTAATTGAGTGTCTTCTACTAGACAGCCAATCATCTAAATCTAGAGTTGCAGCCATGGGAGCACTCAAAGAAAGAGAAGAAGAAAGCTGAGATTCAGGGACTAAATGAAGAGCATTAGTTTCCTTGCTTCGATTCCTCTTTCACTTTCTATAGAACAAGGTGATCTTCACTTCTCAATCCAGGGTTACTAAGTTTCACCCCAGAATCATCTTGGCCTCCTTGCCCAGAAAGAGAAAATGTTTCTAGAACTTGGAAGTCATTGGAGCAGTTGGGCCAGAGTCCTTTGAGGTGTTCCCAAAATCTCAGGATCTCATCTGGCGCTCTTGTGGAGTTGGAAGGGGCATGTGGGTGTGATAAGGAAGAGCCCGTTGGAGCCTGTAGTGCTGTCTTTCCACTCCAGGCAGACCAGGAATATAGCATAGTGGGATGATGGTGTCTTGACTCTGTAGGAGAGTGGTACCCTGTATGTTTTGTTATATGAGCCCTGTCATCAAAGCTGTGATCAGCATATCTGGGGATTTGCCTCTCACCCTATCTGTTATCTGCCCTGATGCTAGTGAGAACACTGGGGTGGGGTCTGTGTAAGGGGGAGCAACCATCTCTACCTGCATTTACATCCATACATCATTTTATGATAACACTTCTTCACCCCTCCACCACCTCTGGAACTACAGGCTGCGGTTACATATACAAGAAAGCACTGTTGACAAAAAAAACTCACCACTCATTTGCTTATGCAATAACTTACAAGTTACAGCAGTATCAAATCAGAAAAGAATGTGCCTGGCTTCTCAGAGAACAAACTGAATGACAGCACCAAGCCTTGAAGTGTCATGCCCCCATAGCTGGCCTGAAATAGCTACACAAAGCACAAGCCATGTCACAGCTGCAAACACTTCTTTCTCTTTTCTTGTGCCATGCAGTATTTCCAGCAGCCCGATTTCAGAGGAGCAGCCAAAGCATCCCTAAACTCCTCAGAGGTAGTCTGGTACATCGGAGCTGTTGGTGCACTCCCTGTTTTCTGAGTGTACACTGGGAAACGAAATAGGCAGTGCAGCTCCTCCTCTGTGACATGGGTGAGTGGCTAGAGTAGCAAGGATGCGCAGCAGTGCGATGACCCCTGTGGCGACAGATGTCTCAAAGGAAAGCTCTGAACTCAGTAGTACTTTGCATGTCTTACTGTGTTTGATCCCCACAGCCAGCCTTCTCCTCACATCCCACAACAAGAGAGATTGTTTAATCCTCATTACAGAAGCCATAGTTATAGTGTGTGGAGTAGATGGAACAGATGGAGTGTGTGGAGTGTGTGGAGTGAGTGGAGTGAGTGTGTGGAGTGAATGGGGTGTGTGGAAGAAAACCAGAGCCTTCTTATCACAGAGCCTACACTTCCATTCAGCCAACTGTGGTAAAGTACCACTTGGCCTCACCAAACAGACTGAGAGCTTAGAGACGCAGGTGGTAGATTTCTATGTGCTTAATGAATCTGGTAGAACTCCCTACTCCTGCCCTGGCAAACAAGAGAGGAGAGATTGACTTTGCCTCATGATTTCTAAGGGATAATTTGATAGTTACTTGGCCCTGTGTGCTTGTACAGAACACCATGGTGGCAGGAAGGCATGACAAAGGATTTTTTTCACTATAGAGAGACAGGAAGACACCAGCAACAAAGGGTCCCACCCCAGGGACCTACTTCCTTCAACTGGGTCCCATCTTTAGAAATTTCCAGAACATCTCAAAATAGCACCAGCTCCTGGGGACCAAGCATTCCGCATATGAGCCTATGGGAGACAGTTCCCATTTAAGCTATTTAAGCTACAATGATAAGATCACAGCAACCGGTTGGGTGTTGGTAGCACATGCCTTTAATCCCAGTACTCGGGAGGCAGGAGCAGGCGCATCTCTGTGATTTCGAGGCCAGCCTCCTCTACAGAGTGAGTTCCAGGACAGGCTACAAAACAATACAGAGAAATCCTGTCTCGAAAAACAAAAAACAAAAAAACAACAACAACAAAAAAAACGAAAACAAAAACAAAACAAAACAAAAGATCACAGCAACCATAGCACATACAGTGATTAACAAGGAAGTTGCTTCATACCAGCTTTCATGGTGGCCAACAAAGGCCTTTGCCTCCTGGCATCCATATCTTTGAGTAGTTTCCTCCTAACATCAGATAGCTTCTAAGACAAAAGCCTAGAAGTCTTCTAATCTTTTTACCTTACTCTCTCTTGGTATCCCATGATATGAGGTCACCAGATATCATGACCCTTCCGAAGCCCCTTAGAGATTCCACCTGCTGAGGCTTCCTCCCCACAGCCAGCATCATGTTACCATACTGAGAAACACATGAGTATACCATGTTGGTGGCTGCCCCTCCAGTCCCGGTTGGGCTTGCAAATGATGTTGCACTGACTGACATCTTGACTGATACCTCACAAGCCCCTCCTGAATTTTTGACCTACAAAAACTGTACGAGATACATGTTTACTGTTGTTTTAACTTGCTCATTTCAAAGGAAAGTTGTTCCAAAGCAAGAGTGAATAAGTTATTCTAAATGGCTGGATGGCTCTCAGTAAAAAGATGTTCTGGGTTTTGAGTGGTCTAAAGTCACAAAAGCTATGGGATGAAAGAGCCAGTGACCAAATTAGGGCTTTCCTGTCTTCAAATGTGCAGCAGTAACTAAAGTAGATATTTGCAGCCACATAGCCTTTCTAATTCCTTATCCCACCCACAGATGACTGGAAGGCCCTCTTAGTGCTGTGTGCCACAGCAAGCAAACTTTCAGGGACACAATCAGAAAACACTGAATCATATATTTTGATGTTATGTAACTGTGGCAGGAATGTAGGTGATTTCTCAACATGGTAGAGCAATTCTGATCTCAACAGATCATTTTGGAGTCCCCCCTGGGTCCCCTCACCACAACAGCTGTCAAACTTCCCAGGCTAACCTTGTTTGAGTTCATCATCCTAAACCTTTCACATCCCCAAATAGGTGGAAATAGTGTTGCTTTCACAGGAGCCAATATTTGAGCAGCAATTCAGAGGAAGCTTTGCCTGTGTGGACTACACAGCCCATACAACCAGTTCAAACTTGGTTGATGGGCACAGACACTCAGGGCTCTAAATTCCCACTGGGTTGTATTTCTGTAACTAAAACCCACGTCTCCTTTCCCCCACTGGCTTCTGTGTCTCCTCCTCCCAACCCCACTGACCCACCTCTGTCTGCTCCTGCTTCTTAGGTGTTCTATTCCTCAACAATTGCTATCATTCTTGACCACTGTTCCCAATTATCCTTCTGTCCCTGCCATGCCTTATTCCTGTCAAAACCAGACAGCTTGGACCCTGGCTCCATCCCAAACAACTTCAGTTCTTGCAGATAACCTTGAACTGTCTGAGCCCTGAGTAACCATAGATTTTTAAGGCCCCTTGACATAGTCACTGCATAGGAATTTACAAGTTCCCTGGGAAGAGAGATATAGCTCTTTGTCATATTCAAACATACCCCTTTGTTATGAAAAAAAAATGAGTGTCTCAGTTTGGGTACCATAA